ATAACACCTGGTCTTTACAACCCAAGTCATTATGAATGTGGTCCAAGTTGTCACTGTAGGATTTTTATTATTTTCGCATTCATTGGAGGTGTTTCTTAAATGGAAGTTCCCGGATCATGTTCCCTTGGTTAGTGTGGATGGAGTGCCTGCCTTGCCCAGGTTTGCTGGGGTGTGATGATGGAGGAGAGCAATGGGAAAAAGCAGCATGCTACATCCCAGATCCTCTGGTCAATAAACAGTATTACAGGCTGAGCACTCAGAGAAAAGCCCACCCAATTCTGGGCTTTGGGGTGAAAAGGAGGAGGCTTCTGGGTTAGGGATGGGAAGCGAAGGTCCCAGAGCTGGTCAAATGGGGAATTCATTGCTACCCACCCTCTCTACAACAGTAGGGCGTGAAAAGAAGACAGATCGGAGACCAGTGACTGAAAGGAAGAATTTAGGATTATGGTTTTGTTGTTTTGCTTTTTAGATTTTAAATCTGGAGGTAACACCTATATGTCAGACCTGGGGATAAATAGGAAGGCAGAAGTAAAAATAAAGAAATGACCAACACTTGCCAAATATCCAGCAAATCTACATTGTTATCTCCCTTTCCTTGCGGCCACCACCATCTTTTGCAGGGATCAGTGGTCTCCTTGTTATACTCTGGTCATTTTCCTTGTGTCTGCACAACACTGAGGTGAGCTTTTGGAAGTCTGCATTAGATCATATGGCTCAGAGAGCTAAAACCACACCCTGGCTTACAAGGACCTTCCAGTTTTGCCCTCCTGCTCCCTCTCTCAGCCTGCCATAAAGGCCTCCACTTCAGACTCACAGCTCTCCAGCTACTTTGGTTCCTTACATACTCTTCAAATGCTAAGCTCTCCCAGGCACAGGATTGTTCATCATACTATCCTTCTCTTCCTTTCTTGGCTGATGCCTACTTATATGAGATGCAATGTATCTTAGCGGTTGAAAATGTGCACATTACTGCCAGGCTTCCTGGCTAAATCCCAGGTTTTCTGCTTATCAGCTGTGTGATGTTGAATAAGTTGCTTCAACTCTCTATTCTTCTGTTATAAAATGGAGCTGACAATAATGCCTGCCTCAAGTGGGTAGTTATGAGTACTAGGTAGTACATGTGAGAGTTTTAGCCCAATGCCTAATATCTAGAATAATCTCAGCAAATGTTATTAGCTTTTGAGTCTGAGCCTAAATATCATTTTCTCTGAGAGATGAGATTTTCATCTGATCCAGACCCTCCCTGTGTTGCATTCCTTTGTCATGGAACTTTTCTCATTCGTATTATTGTAATCATTTGCACACTTGTGTGTTTATTGTCCTTATTAATTAGACTGTAAGCCCCCTGAAGGTATTCAGTTATATTACTGAATAACTAATATCTACACAGGACCAGTCACATAGTAGACGATCAACAAATATATTACTGAATGAATGGCTGAGGCTGGTGGTTCAAGACTGTGAATGTTGAGAGTCTTCTAGGAAAGTATTGGGGCTTCAGAAGGACTGAGTTGGGCCAGAAGCCAATGGCGTTCCACTGTATTACTTTTAAAGACATTATCTTTACATTGTATTTTAAGATGTTGACATATCAAAATCAAATTGCTGGACCAAGCTCAAAACTTACATTCATATGCCATGATTAAATGCTCTTTTTTGGCAGAAAAAAAATGTTCGGATTTGCCATAGGATCTCATCCAACCTGGAACTGGCCTGAATGAATTGTGTAAATGAGACAATCATGGTGCCCCCCCCCCCACTACGCCATTCTGCTCCACAGGGTGACTGCATATTCGATTCAGTTCACTGCTTCAGCGCACAGGCTACTGCACATTTGAGCAGCCAATTCCTCAGTAGCAAGCCCAAGATACTGGCTCATCCCTGTATTCCTCACTGCTATTTTAAATGGAGCCTCTTTATTAACATCGGTCTTATCTCTTTTTTGTTTAATGTCACTGCTTGTTTATTTCATTTACATAGCACTTTCCCATCCAAGCTTGTTAGCTTGTATGGAGAACATCATGTTCAAAGAGAGTAATGGCAAACATCCACAACAACCAAAATGAGAATTTCAACTACAGTAGTGCTTGGATAACATAAGGTTACTTTCTTCTTGTAGCTCACCATTGGTTTTCATTGGGGACCTAATCCCAACAGATTCCCACCCCTCTCTTCACCCATTGTTAAATTTTTTGTTTCATACTTATTAGAAGCATGGTGATGATTGGGACCTTTGGTATCTGTGTGTATAGGATTATGGGAATTTCTAATCTCCAGCTTATTTTCCACCCCTGCTGATCCTTATGCATAATGATGTCACCTATTTTCAAAGCTATGTTCTTCCTAACTTTTTTGGTGCCTTATTTTATAAAATTTTATTATAATGTTTATATAAAATTTTATAAAATGATCTCATCTCTACCTGCCTTGGTTATCCTTTAAATGTTTCTAGCCACATCTGGATTTTAAGTACAAAGCCTTTATTAAAGACTAAATCTAAGTATCTTGGCAAAAAACTCAGTGTCAGTAAAAGCTTTATTTAAAACATAAACTAGTAGTTTGGACTAGAAGTTAAAAAAAAGGATTTATAATGAATCTTATGTCTGCATTTTTCTTCTGCCAGATTTGTATGCAATTGCACAATGTCAGATACAATCTTAGCTCTTGTGTTTCTTGACTTCACTGAAATACCTGTTGTTGGCACAGTGCCTTGAAGAAAAGTGATATTCTGTAGTGTAAAGTGATAAGATGCAATGATGTTTAATATTCACAGTTCTTTTATTTTTGAAAAGAAAACATATTTAATTCTTATGGATTGCTCCTTTTTAAAAGAACCTAAATAACTGGGCACATTGAGGACATAATTGTCATATAACTATTATCATATAGCCTAGATTCAAAAACTGGGAAAGCAAATGCAAACACTGTAAGAGAGGAGGCAACTTGTTTATTAAGACTCAAAATATTCTAGGGGATATCATAACTGAGCAGAGTACAAGATTAATGAGAATAGGTTAGTATAATAAACTGAAATGCACATTGAAATCAAATTGCCAGCCTAAAACAAAAATATATACATCACTGCCTCTGAAGTAGGAACGGGATACATAACTACAAAAATGTCCATAATATGACATACTCAGCATCCTTGATAACCTCTTTTTAGAAGTACTAAAAGCACAAATCTTTGTACCGTATGAAGGTCTATGCATGGCTGAAAACGACAGCATTGATTCTGGGAAGACTGGAACCTGGGAAGCCCGGGTAGAACATTTCAGGAAAGCAGAAATGCTTTTCTTTGGCTGCTGTTCCTCAAGTTACTTAAATGAGACTCATTGGCTATTGATCTGTATATATTGAGATTACAATAAAACATAATGGACCAGTTTCTTTTCCCTGTGGCTCATAGAACTGGCATTTTTACCTCTTGGGAATAACACACTTTAGGTTTGGATTTGGGGGAAATGTCCCAGGATCTGGATGGCAACTGATGTGTTTTTAAGATAATGATGTCAGGAAGAGAGGTATACCCAAGAATATGCTGGTCGTGCTCACTGGGAGAATAGTGATTGCTGTTTAAAGAATTGAGATTCCCACTTTCAGAACCCGTCCCTCAGCACGGTGGGCTGGGGCTCCCGCCTATATAGCCAGGTTCCCTTTAGGATGTTACTTACATTCCGTTGATTTGTGATTTTTCCCCATCACAGATCCTAGCTTGTCTATCTCTTTAATCTAATTTGTGCGATGACATCAAGCTTTAATTTTATCATTATTATTTTGCTTCTTTTAAAACACTTGTGGTGTGCCAGGCACTGGATAAAATAGAAAAGACACATTCCCTGCTGTAGCAGGGCTCATACATTTAAAGAGGTATGGCAGGCAAAAATATCCAGTAATTGGCGATAGGTAGCTCTCCTGTTTTTTTCCCCTTCTGCCTTTTGAAGCAACTTCATCCCTCTGAACAAGCCTAAGAAGTTCCCTGGATCAAAGGTGTCAAAAACGAAGAGGGTTGGGAACAAGTGTCAGGGTAGGCAAGCGACTTTCAGAGCTGTGACTTGCTCCTGGCCGGCCCACGTGCTCTGGGTGCCGCACTCCGGCTTTACCTGGGTGGACTCGGACTCGCCAGCTCTTCCTTGACCCTGGCGTCCCTCCTCGGGAGGCGAAGGCGCCCTTCCCACACCTCCCGCACCATCCCCCAGGACTGCACGTCCTCTAGACCAGAGGCCCCAGAACTAATCTCCAGGCTCTGCTTGAAGTGGGCTGGCAGCCGCGGGGAGCCTCTCATCAGGCGATGTCCAGGCAGGTGGGACCGGGTCCCCAGGGTCTCTCCAGACTCCCGTCCGATGTTTCCTTTTAACTCTGTCTCCTACTTACCCTGCTAGGATCTTCTTTGTCTTTTTCCTAGTAACACTGAAGCCTTCTCGTGCGTGGGGACTGCAGAGGAACCCCGGGCCACCCCGACCGCGCGGGATGGCTCAGCGAGTGTGTGCTTTATGGTACGGGTCTGAGTGTCGGCGCGTCTGTGAGTGTTGCTGCGGGTTACAAATGGGGACCAAGAGCAACCCACTCTCTGCCCTTTTTCTCCCGTCATTTCCTAGAGCTCCGGGGCTCCAAGCCCTGGTCCTTCTCCGCAGCACTCAGCGGATTGGGCATCCCGGGCTGAACCCAGCTGGGGCGGCGCCCTCACCCTCCCGCACCGCACCCCGAAGCTTTAAAGTTGCGGGAAACAGTTTCGGGGGGCCCAGGCTGAAGCCAGTGAGCCCGCGGCGGCTGCTCGCCCCGGGGCGCAGGCTGCGCCGAGGGTCGGGCTGGAGAGCGGGCAGCCGGAGGACGGGGCGGGGGAGGAGGCGGGGAGGGGCTGCGGGGAGCAGCTGGCGGGGGAGGCGAGGCGCAAGGTGGCTCCCCGCGGCCCCGCGCCCCGCGGCTCCGGGGGACGCACCAGGCAGCCAATGGCTGCGCAGAGGTGTACAGCAGATGGCGTCCGACTGCGCCGTTCCTTCCTCCTCCTCCTCCTCCTCCTCCTCTTCCTCCTCCTCCAGTGCTGAGGAGCCAGAGTCGCCGCCGGGTTGCCAGACGCTGGAATGGGTGGTCTCCCGACAGACACCACCATCTTTCTTGCACTCGGGAAGCTCGGGGCTCGGCAGCTCCCAGAAGCTGCGGCTGCGGCTCAGGCGAGGCGGGTGAGTGCGGCCGCGCTGCGCCCCGAGCGGAGCTGGGCGTTCCGGGCCCCCGGGCGCCTGGCGGGGCGCGGGGCGGCAGCGGGCGGCGGGCGCGGGGGCTGCGCCCCTGGCACAGACTTTGCTCTTTCCTCGCCGGCCAGCCTCCCTCGCCCTTCTCCCCTCCGCACGCGGGAACTTGGAAGCGGCGCTTCTCAGAGCCTGTGGCTCTGGGCTGCGGGCAGGAAGGGCTGGCGACCCGGGCGCAGCGCGGGGACGCTCCAGCCAGATGGGCGGGCCGGGACACCCCGCGCGCGACTTGGGCAGCGGCCTCAGGCAACGGGACCGAGGCGTGGGATTCCCACATCCAGCTCGCGTTACGGGGTACGGAGAAAAGGAACCGGGTTTCCCAGTCCTGCGCGGGCGCCTGAGGTCGGAGGGCGGGGAGTTCCGTGGGCTTTGCGAACAGGTTGACTGAGGGCTCCCTGTCGGTTGCGCTGACTGCGAAATCTGCGTGTGGGCGTTCAGGGCCCCGGAGGACAGCTGAGCAAGCCGAGAAGTTTTGTGGCTTCCTCTGATTTATCCGTGGCTTGTCCCGAGGGCGCAGCAACAGTTTAGGATTCCACTGTCCCTGCGGGGGACGAGGGGTGTGCCGAGGAGAATGGGACCCTGGGTCGTCCTGGCGGCACATTGTTCATGAAGAGAAAACGGAAAAGGGCGCCAGTGAGCGGCAAGGAGGACGAGGGTATTTTCTAAAACATCACCTACCTGCACCTGCCACCTTCCCTGTCATACGGTCCACGCTTCCACGGTATGAAAGTTACTTGAATGCTAAAATAAAACCTTTGCTCTTTGGTGCCTGCATATTTTGCGTCTTGAAAAGTTACAAAGCTTGGGGCGTGGGGTGTGTGTTGGAGCATTAAGTGCTTTCTGGTTCTCGGTTGAAATATAAGGAAAAAATAAGTTTGTATGAGGGAGAAGGGTCCTTGAAATCTGAACATGCCTCAAGAGCTCTTTTGATTCAGTTTTGTACAGTCAAGGTGGAGTTGGGCTAAGACTGAGATTTTGGCACAGTCTGTGGAAGATGCCAGGGTTATTGGCACTCTGTTGCAGGGCGGTCGGGTGGTTGCCTGTATTTCCCCACCTGCGGGTGCCTTGGTGCTCTTGTAAATGACGATCTGAGGGAAGGAGTCCTCTAGCATCGTGTGTCTTAGTACACTTGTGAGTGCTGTTATTATGGAAGTGGAAATCCCTGAAGTCAGGGTGTACACCAGCCAGATAGGCTGGTGTGTGTGTGTGTGTGTGTGTGTGTGTGTGCGTGTGTGTGCGTGTTGTATATCTAGAGTTTCCTCTTGACAGGAAATCTTCAGATGTTGGGATGTGATTAAACCCACTGGCAGTGTCAAGGCAGTCTGTTTGTTAGGCAAACTCCAAGGAAGCCTTTTACATTCAGTTGTTGGTTAAGGTTTCCTGAGAGCCTCTTAGCATGTTAGTAATCAAATCAAGTAACCTATTCCGTGGAGAATAAATGCTCATATCTTTGTGGGTTAAATAACCCCCATAAAACCCCTGTGTTGAGGCTTCCCTTTGGAACGTTGCTATTCTTAAAGCTCAGTGCCATTAATAATAGGAACCCTCTTTTAAAACTTAATGTGATCACTTCTGTATTTCCAATGGGTGGATGAACCAACTGGGTTGATTCCCTAGAACTGGCTTCCACTTTCCTTGGCCATTGTGTGTGTGTGTGTGTGTGTGTGTGTGTGTGTATTTTCTCGCCTACCTGCTGGGAATTGAGGGTTGGACACTTTTTTTGTGTGTATACTTGGCCTTGAATTCAGGACCTTCACACTGAGCTGCATCCTTAGCCCCTTTTCAAGATTTTTGTTTTATTTTGAGACAAGGTCTCCCTAAATTGACCATGCTGGGCTCAGACATACAATCCTCCTGCTTCAGCCTGCCAGAGTATTGGAATTAGTGCTGCTGTGCACCATCGTGTCAGGTTGCAAACTCTTTTTGTATATTTAAGTGAAAAAGCATTATGAAATAATTATTCAGACCCTATGACAGCATACTCACTTACTTCTAAAGACTTTGTGGATGTAGTTGTTGTAATCCCATATAAAAAATATGGGATAGTCTTGCAGAGTGGGACAGACTGACTTGGAAGACCGGCACACCTACAAAGCATTTTGGGTCCTGTAGACTGCAGACTAGTTTGCATTAAGGGTTTGGGGATATGTGCTCCAAGAAAAGCTACCTACTCTTGGAAGACTTCGAAAGGCTCTTTTGAGGGTTCATAACACAACAGGCTCACTTTATATTTAAATCAATACTGGAAAATGATCTTTTTGATTTTTTTATTTTCCCCCATTGCTTTTCATCAAAGTCATTGCTTGCTAAGGAGTCAAAAGGCTAAGAAACAGAAACACTGTTAGAAAATAATTACAGATCATAAAAACTATATAAACACAGGCTCCACTGTTTGAGAACTGATATTAATAAGTTCATAACTAGATGTACCATTCCGTTCTCCGGTGAGTGCGAATTTTAAGAGAAAGTAAAGAAGAAATTAAAAAATGGTACTGCTGAAATGTTCTTCAAATGGTACTGCTGAAATGTTCTTCATCAGAAAAAATATTAAAGATTTTGTCTGTGTGCTGCAGATACTATTTTGAAATAATTCTTTCATTAAGATCTATTTCAACAAGTTTGTCTTGAAATCACAGTCTAAAGCAGAATGAAAAGATAGGAATTAAGTTACTGGAAGAGGAATGTGCAAACAAGACAAATTCTAAGGCATGCAGCTCATTTTAATTAAACTCCACAAGTTGAGGCTGGAGTCCTATGATTCTTTCACAGAAAAACAATCTTGCCAAAACTTTAATTTTGCTATACTGCACACCTTTGTAAAGGGTAGGCCTTAAAATAAAACACTGATTCAATAGAATGAAGAATATTTGACTGATCCTATTTAGTTTACAGTGAAAATGACAAATGATATGGTATACAGTATTAAATGCATGATTAAAATAAGCAGATTAAAGAATTCTAAGTAAGTGACAAGTATACTAGTTGGTAGGAAAAAAGAACAGCGTCATTAGCACCTAAGGTTCCAAGATACTGTACAAGTGCTACATAAAGGGTGCATCTTTGAATAACACTAGGGTATTACATTATCAAAAACTGCACACGCTCCTTAGATGCTTTCTTGGATTTTTGAGTATGAATTGCACATAGTGCTTCATGTTTTCAAAAGTAGGCATTTCCTAGTACATAACTCTAAAAGAAGCAGCTGTAATCATTTTAACACCAGCCAGCTCCCTAACTATACCACAGGTCCTTAATTTAGAGCTGTTAACAGGATTAATATCTAAGTGATAATTACCACGTTAAACCTGTGAAAGTACCAGGATTTTAAACTCCACTTTTAATTCTAGAAATTCGCTACTGTGAGTTTGATTGGGATCCCCGGTTTAACAAACCTGAAATCATTGGTATTGGTATTGTTGCTTCAACATGATATACATATACATTTTATTCACCCTTCAAAATTTCTCATTAACTGAGATTATTTTGCTGATACTTTTAGTAGGAAAATAGCCATGAATAACAATGGATGGTCCTGACCCACCCCTTGTTATTCATAATAGCAAGCAGGGGCTGTTGATGAAATTAAGTGAAGAGAATTAAGAATAGTTGCATGCTCAGCTTTTATGCACCTCTGCTGAGAAGGAAATAGGAATTCTAGTCATTTAGACCGTAGGGTTATGTTTCTTTTTGAGTCACAATTCCTGGAGCAGGCCAGCTACACAAAATCCATCTACATAGTTACTTGTGTAGTTTATAGTTTACTTTTAATTTTATAATGAGCATTCTGTGGCTACTAGATCAAGCATTTCCCTTGAAGGGGAAAATAGAATATTAGGGAAACCCAGTTGCTTCGTACCTTTCAGCGAAACTGACTCTAGAGGTGCTATAGAGTACTTTCATGGCTAGTGAAGGCTCAGTTATTACCACAGTGAGGAGTTGAACCCAAGCTTGGTTTGTAAGCAGAACCATTAAGTCATCTGGCACATACACAGTCCTCTGTATTTTCAGAATGTGAGTATGCTGTCATGATCAATAAAACACAGTGTATTTTAAAGCATCACAAAATACCTTTTAGCTTGAGTCATTAGGCTTTTTTTGGCAATTAATGGGATTCTAAAAGTACAAGTCTTTACTGTGATATGGGAATTGGTAGAATGTTTTAAAGTTTTAAAAAAGGCCCTCTTCGCAGAAAAGATTAGACATTTACCTAGATGTGGGGATCCATGAAAATGTGAAAGTGTGTCCTGCATAAAACAAAAACCGTCACTGTGGAACTCAGGAATTTCGTAGCAAGGCCCACAATGCTTGTTTTTGATTTTGCCTCTCTAGGCATATTTTAATTATGAGCCTCTTGCACTTAAATGAGCTGTAGCTAAAAACAGGATCCTAAGTTATGAATGTGCAAACAATTATTTAATGCCTTGACTGGGAAGGAACTGGTTGCTGTGTTGTACTTGCGTGTATTAGGGTTGGCTGCAGATTTGTGCAGCGTTATATATTAGTGAACAGTTCATTACCTCTGGAAGAATCACAATGTCGAGAAAAGCTCTAAGCTTCATAGCAGTTAGGCACAATTGCTTTGGTCTTAGACTGTAGTTTTGTAGTACAGCATATTTTAATTTTGGGTTCTTTCATTTGGCTGTTTTAAAAACCATACCCTGTACTATGCATAAATGAAGGATTTTAATTATAGGAAGACTGAGGCTTGCACTAATCTCTTGCAGAGTTTGCTTCTAGGCGCTCCTCTATTGATTTCTACATTTTGTGCTTACGTTAGACATATTCTGGGTGATTTGGCCCACATGCATTGATAGAGCTTTATTGGATGTAAAAATATTGAAATTTTTCTGTACTAGTAGGTAAATGGGTACTGTGTGAGCCCCGAGGAGAGCCTACACTCTGGACTGTCTTGAGTGTCCTATAGGCCCCTTTTT